ATGTATGGATGTGAAAGCTGGACAATTAAGAAAGAAGATAGGAAGAAAATCAATACATTTGAGATGTGATGCTTCCGCTGATATGCCAGCTGTGCCCTTTTCTGGAAGTAAGGGATTTTGAGACTGTTGTTCATGCACTGGTAACCTCACTCCTAGATTTCTGCAACAAGCTCTACATGGGGCTACCCTTGTGCTTGGTTAGGAAACTACAGCTGGTGCAAAATATGACAGCAAGATTAGTATCAGGAACATCTTGGAGCGACCACATTACTCCAGTATTAAGGTCCCTCCATTGGCTGCCTATCAGCTTCTGGGCTCAGTACAAGGTGTTGGTTATTAACTTTAAAGCCCTAAATGGCTTGGGTCTGAACTATCTTAGGGACCGCCTCCTCCTCTATAATTCTCCCCGCACTCTCCGGTCCTCTGGGAGGAATTTGCTGCAGCCTCAAAAATCTAGGCTTTCAGCTATCTCCCAGAGGGCTTTTTCTGTTGTTGCCCAAATTGTGGAACGGCCTGCCGGACGAGATCCACCAATTAACATCTTTAGACAGCTTCCGGCAGGCCTTTCCAGGATAGAATATCCTGGCCTCAAGCCCCTCCTTTCCTCAGAGCAGCCCCATCTGCCTCCCCAAAAACCATTTATTATACTGCCACTGTTCTTTGTTGTCGTATTGTATTTTGTGAGTGTTGTTTTAATTTTGTCCATTTTTAACTTGTAATAGATTTAATAACTTTTTAAGGGGTGGGTGGGATATAATTTGTTTTTACTGTTGTATTGCATTTTTATTGTAAGCCCCCCCAATTGATCTCAAAGGGGCGGGGTATAAATAAATTTTATTATTATTATTTTATTATTATGGAGAAGAGTGTTGAGGATCCCATGGACAGTCAAAAGGACAAACAAATGGGTCCTAGAGCAGATCAAGCTGGAAATTTCCCTGGAAGCCAAGATGATAAAACTTAGGCTGTCATAATTTGGACACATCATGAGAAGGGAAGAAAAAATAATAATGCTAGGAAAGGTGGAGGGAAGTAATAAGAGAGGAAGGCCACATGCTAGATGGATGGACTCCATTAAGGAGGTCATGGGTGTGGGTTTGCAGGAATTAAGCAGAGCTGTGGAGGACAGAGGAACTTGGAGATGTCTCATCCATGGGTCAAAATCAAGCTGAGGGCAGCTAACAACAACAACAACAACCACAACAAAGTAATTTCTAACTAGCGATTCCCAAATCTTTCCAGGATCTGTTGTCCTCCAGAAGTTAGAGTCTTAGCCAGTCATTCACGTTTAATACAGTCTGATCTCTGTGTAGCTTTCTATCCTTCACTGGCAGAACTGAGAATACCACCTTTGCCTCAAACCCCTTCAGCTTCCTGCCCCAAGATTCATAGTCAGATGTGATCTGCTTAAAAGTGTTCTTCGCTATGTCATTGGTGACCACATAAATAAGGAGAAAGTGGTACCAATCTTGATATGTTTTGGCAAGTTGTCAGTGACATCCTCGATACATGTGCCAGGAAGACAACACACTTCTTAATTCATATTGTTAGGCTGGCACACAGGTACAGTACTTCTATAAGCCACTAGCTCCCCCCTCTCCTCCTTGTGGTTGGTAGTTATTTTAACTCCTTCTTTGGCATGCAGTATCCCCTGTTGCTGATTTCCTGTTTGAGCATTTTCACTGCTATTAAATTCCTGAAGATGTAGAAAGCAAATGCTTAGTTGGAGTGGTTCTGAATCCCATCTATGTGGCCTGTTCCCAACAGTGACTTTCTTCCAGGGTGTTTCTACACTGTTATAAGCCTCTTTATTTTCCTTGGCATTTTCTTCCTGTTGGTTTTGTATGATCAATTCTCCCTGTGTTCTATCCAGGAAGTCCTCTTCTCTGATGCATTGAAGGGACTCAACATGTAGCTGTGGTACATTGACTTTCTCTTTCAAAAGAGCTACCAATTTGCACTTTCTGTACGTGTAGTTGGTGATGTTTTCTGGGCAGAAGACAAACATTACACATGAAATACAGCAGACAACAATATATCTACCTCCATCTTGCAGTTATTTCTTTCCCCTTCCTCCTTTCTCTACAGAACTACATTGCTTCTCAGTTTTCCCTATATCCCTTCAAATCTTCTTCCAAGACAGCTCTGTCATTCTCATGAAGTTTAGCAGCACTGACCCAATTGCTCCAGGGCTGCCCCAGCACTGCTTCCAGGCTAGGCAGGGACCAACACCCCTTGATGGATGTCTTTGCTTTGCTAGTATTAGGGGTTGTACTGGCAGAGATCAAGATTTCCTCTAATCAAGAAACCTGTTCTTTGATCATTTTTTTTTTATTTTACAATGGGTCCTTGGTATACACTGGAGTTTGGTTCCAGGATTCCCCCATGGATACCAAAATCTCTGGATGCTCAAGTCTCATTAAATACAATTTTAGTAAAATCATGTGTCCCTTATATAAAATAGCAAAACCAGGGCTCGCTTTTTGGAATTTATGTAGATTTTAAAATAATTTTAAAGCCATGGATAGTTGAATCCATGGATAAATAATTTGTGGATAAAGAAGGCTGACTGTATTTTTGCATATTCTTTCCATCATTTGTCTTTTCACCAAATGCTTATTTTATCTTTCATTTCCCCCCCCCCCCCCACATTCTTTCAGGTTAGGAAAATGATTTAACAATGCAGCCAGGGAGAACAGAATTGAGAAGGAGTTTAAAATCTGTTTTGGAAAATCATTAAAAATCCACACTGTTTCTAAATATCCTGTTATAAAACTCTATGATGCAGGAGACAAACAATAAGAACAAAATTCCATCATTGGCAACCACAATCCCCCTGGTTGGCCTAATAGAGTCATGTTGCCTGCATGGGTGGTCAACATCTCCCATGTTTACAATGATAAGCCCCGTGCCATCTCTATTCAGAATTAGAAATGCTAATAGGTCAAATGTGAGGTATACTTCCTATTAACTAAAAGTAACAAATGCTAGGAGACGAACAGAGATAATGATGATTAATGAAATGACTAGCTTTTTCTATTGAAGTTCCTATTTATGGCTTATTTGGGAGTGAAGCAGCAACAGAACTTGCCACCCACCTGACTTCAGCATGAAGATTATTTGCAGAGGAATAATGCCCCTATCCAGGATGATGAGAAGAAGGCAGATATGACATGAAACAGCACCCATTTCAGCAATACATCTTGCCAAGTTGTTTGTTTCTACAAGGAGAAAGAGAACTTAAGCAGGCTAGCTGAACAGAGGTTAGTTCTCATACCTGTTTAGGGCAACATTTTCCTTGTTAGTCCTCATTAAAATTTTGATTTTGTTCTTGGAACTCATACTGGGTACTGCAGAATGAAACAAAGAAAACAAGAAACAAATGAGCTTAGGAATCAAATGATGTCATGGTAAAAACTAAAAGAAGAAGCTGTGGTTGCATAGTGGATGGTAAAATGAGAATGCTGATGTTCAAATTTTGTTCCCACCCTAGGATCTCTCTTGTAGGGATGTAAATCCTTGACTTACATAGGAGATAAATAATTGTAATACTTTCCCCCCCACCATGGCATAGATACACAACTATTCCTCTGCAGTATTTGCCCCATATTTGAATGCCCCAAAATGTTGCAGAGAAATTATTGTCTAGAAATAATTGGTGGGTTTTTGGATGGAAGGGGCTCAAAAATGCATTTTCTGTGCAGAAAACAGACTTTTTGTGCTCTGTACATTTCAGGATGTTCAAATACAAATCCTAAAAAGGAATAATTGTGAAGCATTTGGGCCTAAAGGAACCAGGCCCTATCTGCTCTTGGTAGCTAAGCAGAGTCAGCTCTGATTAGTATTTGGATGGGAGATTGCCAATGAATACCAGGTGATGTAGAGTATATTTCAGAAGAGGAAACTGGCAAAAACCTCCTCTGAGAAGGTTGCCTAGGAAACTCCTATGAAATTCATGAATTTGCTATAAACCATTAAGAGACTTGAAGGCGTATACACACATACATATTTTGCTCTGGTCTGGTCTTCCCAACAGGGTTTCCCAACTGTCGGGGATCCCCTTTTCCCATCCTGGGAATGAATAATAATGAATATTTTCCCCATCCCTACTCCACTGACTCTCCTATCCAACAAAAGAGTTATTTTAATATGTTATCTTCAGAAATCCTTTCAGTTTTGGCTTTATACATGCTGATATTGGCAAGCACAGGAAGTAGTTTTGTTATGAGGTAGACCCCTGATCCATCTAATTAAGTATTGTATACCCTGACCAGAAGTGGCTCTACATATGCTGGATTCCAAGGAAACATATTCTTTGGATCGTAAATGGACATTAAATTTCCTTGGCTTGCAAAAATTTCCAGTGACTGCATGGCCAAAGGGGGAGAAGTCAGCCTGCAATAACCCTCCCTTAACATCTGAACTGAGATCAGAAACAGAAAATGCAGGCCTAAGATTAACATCTTCATTTTTTTCCTCTTGTTTGCCTGATGAAAAAGCCAGTGTGACTTTGAAAGCTTGCAACATGTAATTGTGCATTTTGGTTGGCCCAATAAAATTATTGGGCCTCTGCAGACCGGCTCAAAGGGCTGGCTTGGAAGCATATTTGGGTTGGCTGCCCCAACCCCATGGCACGTCCGACCTGACACTGTGCACCATTATGCATGGCGCGTGGCATCAGAATGCCCTTCCAGCTCTTTTTGGGGTGGTAAAAGGGAGGATTGGGGCTGCAGCATGGGGTTGCTGCAACCCCAATCCACTGCTACCTGGGGCAGCCCAGAGCCGCCCATTTGCAGTCCCCCATTGTTTGGGTTATTGGATTTGCTATATGGCTAACATGGCTACCCCAGATGTTGTAATAATAATAATAATAATAATAATAATAATAATAATAATAATAATAATAATATAACAACAACAACAATAGATATTGTGTAACACAATGTTCCTTAAACAATGCATATGTACTAATGATATATGCCATAGTGCATGTGCTGAGAGCCAGCATGGTGTAGTGGTTTGAACATTGGATTATGACTCTGGAGACCAGGGTTCAAATCACCATTCAGCCATGAAACCCACTGAATGACCTTGTGCAACTCATACTCTCTGAGCCTCAGAGAATGGCAATAGCAAACCGCTTCTGAACGAATATTGCCAAGAAAACCTTAGGGCCACTGTAAGTCAAAAATGACTTGGAGGCACACAACAAGTAAATGTGCTAAAAATATAATGTGTGCACCTTAGATTTTCTGTACCAGAATGATGCTGAATCAGTGTATGTGCAGCATGAATATGTATGCAACAGTGCCTGTACAAAAAGCATAATGTATGCATTTATATACATCTATGCATATTTGTATGTATACATGCATGTTTCCTCTCTATTTAAGGAACATTCTTTTCTTTTTATTATAGTAGAATTGTTACAGTAGAACTGTTAGAAACTCTCTTCCCTATCAAAGAGAAGCACAGTGTGATGTAATGGACAAGCTGTGATTTTTTTTCCTGACTCGTGTCTGAGTTCAGTTGCCTTGTCAAGGTCTAGGATGGCCAACTACTCCATGGTATCTGGGAGGAACAGCCTCCATTTTTAAAGGGTGTCCTATGACTTGACCAAATGAGTGCTTTTGAAGGAGCAGAGGCTGAGGTGTGTGTGCATGCATCTTTTCAGGACAGGTGGGGACAAAATGAATCCTTGGGGTTACATTAAGCTGCAAGGCTGTTTTGAATCTCCTAACCCCTCCAAATATCTCTACCTCAAGACCCAATTAGCTTTCTTAGACCCATCCAGGACCAACAATTTTCATAGGTTTAAAAGCAATGGGTCACTAGGGGTGTGTGGGGGGTCTGGGGGGTGCAGACCACACCAGGTGACACCTTAAGAGTCAATTACTGACATCACTGCTCCTCCAACACCTGTATTTGGGCAGAAACAGACTGTGGTATTTGCCTGTATCTCTTTAAAATGCTGAAGAGATGGTGTGAATGGGGTGAGGGTCAGTGGGAGTAGGAAGGAGTGGCACCAGGTGTTTTTTTTAAATAATTAAAATTTCAAATTTCAAAATTTAATTTTAAAATTATTTTTTAAAAATTACATATTTATTTTAAAAATTATTTAAAAACATCACATTTTACCAAATTTTTCATTTTAATCACATGAAACCATGTACACACAAACACATTTATTCTGTGCATATGATATTGTAAAGATAATTTGAATTTTACCAATTGTTTATGTCATAGCTGTTACCATTAGATTCTGTGATATATGGGAATTTCAATTTAGTCATACATTAGTACAAAAAAACTTTACTAAGGATTTTGTACAGGTGTAGTATGGGGGAAGGTCAATGAAGGGGTGACACCATGAGTTAGCACACTGGGTGACACAAACCCTAGTGACGCCACAGCTTAAAAGTGGGTTCCTATACGGTATCTTCAAATATACCCCCCTTCAACACCATAAATGGATTTCTGGACACTTCTGGTTTTGTTGTTCCCTCATTTTTGTCTAGTGTCTGTGCCCCCCCCCCAATTATTAGGGACATAAAACATCCCTCAAGCCACAACCCTTGATTTAGAACCTTCTCTTCTTTTCTCAGCTGTCCAGCTTTCACTAGGTCAAGAAAAAGGGAAGGAAAAAGACACGTATAATTTGGGTTGCTTCTTAAGCTAAAGCCTTAATGGCATTCATCTTGACTCTTTCTGCAGGCCCTACAGGCTCAAGACCACCTTCACAGTCTTAGGAATTTGTTCCTGTTATGCATAACTTCTGTGTTGATTCTTCTGGTAATCTGATGACAGAACCAACAATGGATTTTAAATATGAGAGAACCTTGGGGCTTATGCATAACACATTATTTATGGTACTATCTTATCCTGGCAGTGTTATATAAAAGGTTATAAATAAGTGACAGATGCCTGCCTTGGAAGCTGATGGACTTTTCTTTATTTCTTTAAAGAAATCACAGTGATCCTTGTAAAGTAACTTCCCCTCTGTGTTTAAACAGGAGGTGTATTCTTCTTACTGTCTTCTCTTCTTGCATTCTTTCCCTCCTCGGCAGCAATCCCTCTAATATAATCATCCCCCACTTCTCCTTCCCTCCCAATTAAGCCTCAGATTTCAGTGATACATACAAATGAGATGTGATACTTACTATATTGTTGTGATACTTACTATATTGTGGTTTAAGTATGACTCTTGACATCGGGGTTTGATTCCCAACTTGCCCATGAAACCCACTGGCTGGCTTTGGGCAATTCACATGCTCTCAGCCTTGGGAGAAGGCAATGGCAAATCTCTGGACAAATGATAGGTTAACCTTATGGTTGCCATAGATTACAAATGACTTAAAGGCACACACCATCACCAACAAAGATGAACTTATCACAGGGTTTTCTTGTCAAGTTTATTCAGAGGGGATTTGCTATTGCCATTATTTGAGGGTGAGAGAGTAAGACATGCCCAAGGTCACACAGTGGCCTCATATGACCAAGCCAGGATTCAAACCCTGGTCTCCAGAGTCATAGTGTAATGTTCAAACCACTACACTATGCTGACTGTATACAGTGATGTCTCACACCAGGGTGTCACCCAGTGCATGGGGTGGGGCTTCAGGGGGTGGAGCCAAAAGGACACACCCTCACCTCCCTGCCAAGCACAGCTTAATATGCTAGTAAACCCACACCAAGCAGCCTTGGGCCTCCCTTTCCCTTCCCGGCGTGGCTTGACATGTATTTTATATCTTATTTATTTCTTGTGATGTAAGTTCATTTGCATGAAGGGGCATTGTAAGGCTGGGCAGGGAAGAAGGGGCACCCTGGATCTCCTTTTCCCTGTCTGGTGCATCTTTACATGTGAGTGAAGCTGCACAGGGCAGGGAGGAAGGTGTGGTCTCAGCCTCTCCCTCCCTGCTGCATGCCATGGTGTGGAGCAGGGAGGTGGGGAGGCCTGCACAGCTGGGTGTCACCCCTCTTCTGGGGTGTCACCTGGTGCAGTCCACATCCTTCACACCTCCTTAATGACACTACTGGCTCTATATACATGAGTTAAATGTGTGCATAACATTCCAACAAGGGGGGATATCTATAATGTTTCAAAGGTCCTTTGGAGCAAATGGCTGGATGCCTGCAGACATTTACAAAATGTTAGTTATATTAGTTATGTCTGAGCATTAATTTAGCAGATACTGTACATTTTGGCCCTTGGGTGCTCTGGAACAAAATCCGTTTACATCGCTAGTTGTAGAGCCTTGCCTTAGCACTGAAATAATTATCATTAGTACTGCATATCTCTATGTGTGCATGCACATAAAAACATGAACAGTGTGTTTTATTTATATGGAAACTTTGTAAATTAAATTTGCTGAAAATCAGCCTTACAATGCCCTTTATGCAAATGAACTTACATCACAAGATATAAATTATTTGTGTCATTGTTGGCTACATGAAGGGCTGTGGAACAAATCATTCAGTTCAATCTGGAAGCTAGTTATTCTGAAAACAAGGACACAATATGATTTTAAATTAATTCATTAAAAATTGATAAATTTGTTCCTTTCAGGGTGGTTCACATGATAATTTAAAACAAAGCAACACAATATAAAACAGTATGGGTATGAATTTAGAAGCACAAAAACTTTTCAAGCAGCTCACCAAGAAAAATACAAGAAATGAATTTTAAAGAATCAAAATAGAAAAGGAAAATTAAAAATCCCTGCACATTTTAATTTGTCAGCAAAAAGAAAACAAAATCATTACCTGACTTTGCAAATTCAGGGCACTACAAGGAAAAAAGCCTTCTTCTTTTCTAATGCATAATGAAACAGATCACAACAGTTGAGAGGCAAAGTGATGGTGAATTTTGAAGGAAGTAGAGCATGTACTAAAACTAGAAAGATCCTAAAGAGTAAAGACATACAAATGGGCACTAAAGTCAAAATCATCCAAGCCATAGTATTCCCCATCACCACGTATGGATGTGAGAGCTAGACAGTGAAGAAAGCAGATAGGAAGAAAATAAACTCATTGGACATGTGGTGATGGAGAAGAATGTTGAGAATGCCATGCACAGCTAAAAAGACAAATAAATGGGAATTTGAACAGATTAAACCAGAACTCTTCCTGGAAGCCAAGATGACAAAACTAATACTATTGTACTTTGGCCATGTCATGAGAAGGCATGACTCTCTTGAAAGACTGCAATGCTTGGAAAGGTGGAGGGTAGTAGAAAGAGAGGAAGGCCACACACCAGATGGCTAGATTCAATTAGGGAAGTCACAAGCATGAATCTACAGGACAAGTAGAGCAATGAAGGATAGCAGAGCTTGGAGATCTCTCATTCACAGGGTTACCATGGGTTGGGGATGACTTGAGGGCTGGAAGCCAGCATAAAGACTGCAGTAGGAGCAGCAAAAGATAGGAAACAAAGGTGAAATGTTTGGCATTTTTGCTAGATCAGTGTGAAGGAACCAATCTGGGTTGTGAGAGACCAGAAGCAGAAGACTGGCTGCAGTTGTTTGGGGTAAGAAATGACAAAGGAGTCTTCATAGTGGGTTGCTCGTTTGATCACTGTGGAGACACATCCTGCAGTGGGCTCAGCAATGGCTTCAGTGTCCATTAAAAATATAATAGCCTCTTATTGCACAGGCAACCTTCCCTTGGAAGCCTGCACTCTTGGCTAGGTCCAGAAAAGAAAAAACAAAACAAAACAAAAACAAAACAAGAATGGACAATTATCACCCTATATCACTACTCAACACAGATTACAAAATATTTACAGCAATACTGACAAAAAGATTCAAAGAAGTGCTGAAAGATATAATTCATGAAGATCAAGTGGAATTCCTTCCCTCAAGACAACTAAAAGAGAATACGAGAACAGTCATAAACCTCATCGAATATTATGAGAAAAACAATGAAAAGAAATTTGCATTATCTCTGGAGGATGCTGAAAAAGCTTTTGATAACATAAAATGGAACTGTATGCTAGGAGTGTTAGAAAAAATGAAGGTAGGACACAATTTTCTTGGCTTTTCTAAAATGAGTGAAGAATATATATATAAAGAAC